GGGCTCTATACACTCTATGGGGCTCTGTAGGGCCCTACAGGTCTCTATGGGACTCTGTAGGGCTCTATGGGACTCTGTAGGGCTCTATGGGGTGCTATGGGGCTCTATAGGTCCCCATAGGTCTCTATGGGGCTCTGTGGGGCCCTATCACAGCACCACAGAATGGCAGGGGTTGGAAGGGACCCCCAGGGATCACGGAGCCCAACCTCCTGCCAAAGCAGTTCCTGCAGCAGGTCGCACCAGTCGCTGCGCAGCGGGTCTGGAACATAGGGCTCTGTGGCACTCTATATGGCTCTATGGGCTCTATAGGTCTCTATGGGGCTCTATAGGTCCCTATAGGTCTCTGTGGGACTCTATGGGGCTCTATGCAACTCTATGACGCTCTACACAGCTCTATGGGCTCTATAGGTCTCTGCAGGTCCCTATAGGACTCTATGGGGCTCTATGGCACTCTGTACAGCTCTATGGGGTGCTATGGGGCTCTATAGGTCCCTATAGGTCTCTATGGGGCTCTGTGGGGCTTTATCACAGCATCACAGAATGGCAGGGGTTGGAAGGGACCCCCAGGGATCACGGAGCCCAACCCCCTGCCAAAGCAGTTCCTGCAGCAGGTCGCACAAGCAGGCATCCCATAGGTGGGTCTGGAACACCTGCAGAGGAGGAGCCTCCACCACCTCCATGGGCAGCTGTGCCACCTAAAGAATCCTTGTGCACATCTGTGCGGAACTTCCTGTGCTGCGGGGCACATCCCATAATACATCCCACAGCACAGCCCATAGCACAGCCTGTAACACATCCCACAGCACAGCCCACAGCACAGCCCACAGCACATCCAACTTCCTGTGCTGCAGTTCCTGTCCGTTTCCCCTCGTCCTGTCCCCACACACCGCTGAAAACAGCCTGGCCTCACCCCCCACACCTCAACATTTACAGACCAGGATCAGGCCCCCTCTCAGCCTCCTTTTCTCAATCTAAACAGCCGCAGTTCGCTCAGCCTTCCTCCATAGGGGCGATGCTCCAGGCCCTTCCCCATCCTTACGGCCCCCCGCTGGACCCTTCCCAAGAGATCCCCGTCTTTTTCATCCTGGGGAGCCCAGCCCTGCACACAGCGCTCCTTACTGCATCCTCCACCCCCACCAGGTCCCCACCAGGTCCCCGCACGGAGGGGGAGCAGCGCCCACCTTCCATGGTCTCCGTCAACCGATCCGCCACCTTCCTCACCACGGCGCTCAGCGTCATTTTGCCGTTGAGGAGCAGCTCCTCCACCAGCAGCTCCCCGGTGTCGCCGTACAGCGCCTTGGCGGTGTAGATGTAGCGCGGGTAGCGCAGGATGCGCAGCACCCGGCGGCACCGAGCCTCGTACTCCACGCAGCCGCGCTTCTGCAGCTGGTATGCGGCCAGGTTGTGCTGGATGAGGACGCACAGCGCCTTCCTCACCTGCCCGAGGCGCACGTTTGGTTGCTCACGTTCTCGCAGGAGCCCTCGGGGCCACCCAGCCCCGTTTTTGGGCTCGCCTGCTGTCACCAAACCCCCCCCAACCCCAACTGGCCCCCCCATACCTGGTCCAACGCCAGCCCGGTGTCGGCGCAGATGGCGCGCAGCGGCTGGCTGCCTGTCCTCACCAGGTACGTCCCCACCTTCTCCACGATCTCGCCGAAATGCTCGCGCAGCAGCAGGGAGCACAGCTTTATCTCCGCCTGCGTCATGGCGGCGCGGCCGGGATCAAAGCTGGGGAGCAGAGAGGAGACAGCGCGGATCGCAGCGGTGGGGTGGCACTGAGGAGCGCCGGATACAAAGCCCCCAGATCCCCCCCCCCAACCCCCAGTGACCCCCGGCACCGGGCAGATTCTGGGAGGGGGAGGGGGCAGGGTGGGGAGAGGGGGGGGAGGGAAAAGGGGGGGAAAGGGGGGGGAAGGAGGGAAAGGGGG